GTAGGAGGCGAGAAAGCACTCGAGGAGGGGATAGAACCCCCACCCCTCACATTTCACTTTTTTTTTTTTTTTTTAAATCCTTTAAAAAAGCCACGTAGGAGGCGATATGCTTGTAATGCCACGTAGGAGGCGAGAAAGCACTCGAGGAGGGGATCGAATCCCCACCCCTCACATTTCGCTGTTTTTTTTTTGAAAAATCTTTTGAAAAAGCCACGTAGGAGGCAATCTGCTTGTTATGCCACATAGGAGGCGAGATAGCACTCGAGGAGGGGATCGAACCCCCACCCTTCACATTTTGCTGTTTTTATTTTTTCAAAATCCTTTCAAAAAGCCACGTAGGAGGCTGCTTGTAATGCCATGTAGGAGGCGAGAAAGCACTCGAGGAGGGGATCAAATCCCCACCCCTCACATTTCACTGTTTTTTTTTTTTGAAAAATCCTTTGAAAATGTGATAGCGAACTGTTTGTAATGCCACGTAGGAGGCGAGAAAACACTCGAGGAGGGGATCAAACCCTCACCCCTCACATTTCTTTGTTTTTTTTTTTTGAAAAATCCTTTGAAAAAACCATGTAGGAGGCGATCTGCTTGTAATGCCACGTAGGAGGCGAGATAGCACTCGAGGAGGGGATCGAACCCCCACCCCTCACATTTCGCTGTTTTTTTTTTTCAAAATCCTTTGAAAAAGCCACGTAGGAGGCGATCTGCTTGTAATGCCATGTAGGAGGCGAGAAAGGACTCGAGGAGGGGATCGAATCCCCACCCCTCACATTTTGCTGTTTTTTTTTTTTTGAAAAATCCTTTCAAAATGTGATAGCGAACTGCTTGTAATGCGACGTAGGAGGCGAGATAGCACTCGAGGAGGGGATCGAACCCCCACCCCTCACATTTCGCTGTCTTTTTTTTTCAAAAATCCTTTGAAAAAGCCACGTAGGAGGCGATCGAGGAGGCGTTTCGAAAACGTAGGAGGGCTTGAGATAGCAAACGAGGAGGGGATCGAAAAGGTAATGGCGAACTGCTTGTAGTGCCACGGAGGTGGCGAGATTGCACTTCGGGGACCCCCGCCGATGGCTCGGCCGGTAGGCGGGGATCCAGCATTTCACAAACGCTATAGCCCCGCCCACCAGCCGTGCTATTGGTGGGGGTCCAACGTATGGCAAACGCTAAACCCCTCCAAAAGCATGGCCGGTGGGCGGGGGTCAAGCGTTTGTGAAACGCTGGACCCCCTCCAAAAGCACGGGCGGTAGGCGGGGGTCTAGCGTTTGGGAAACGCCGGACCCCCTCCAAAAGCACGGCCGGTAGGTGGGGGTCCAGCGTTTGTCAAACACTGGACCCCCGCCAATGCCTTGGTCGGTAGGCGGGGGGGTCCAGCGTTTGTCAAAAGCTGGACCCCCGCCTACCGGCCGTGCTTTTGGAGGGGTTCAACATTTGTCAAACGCTGGACCCCCAACAATAGTAGCACGGCCGGTGGGCGGGGGTCTAGCGTTTGACAAACGCTGGACCCCGACCAATAGCTCGGCTGGCAGGCGGGTCTCCAACGTATGTGAAACGCTGGACCCCCGCCCACCTGCCCCGCCATTGGTGGGGTTCCACCGTCTCACAAACGCTGGACCCCTTCAAAAGCACGGTCCGTGGGCAGGGGTCCAGTGTTTGTCAAACGCTGTGCCCCCGCCCACCGGCCGTGCTTTTGGTGGGTGTCCAGCGTTTGTGAAACGTTGGACCCCTGCAGACCGGTTGGGTCGAGGGCTGGGATCAATCGTTTGAACATGGCAGCCAACTGCCAATTGCGACGGCCGGTAGGCAGGAGTCCAGCGTTTCACAAACGCTGGACCCCCGCATACCGACTTGTGCAAGGTGGGGGTCCAACGTTTCACAAAAGTTGTACTTCTGATTATCAACCTCCTCCCCTCSCCCCCCCCCCCCYCCCCCCSSYSGAATGAGCGCCGCCGGCATGCGCCCAACAATTGCTTCTGTTGTTTGCTATGTCCCATCCTGTGCTGCGAGAGATAGAGATAGGTGACATTAATGCATCCCTCGTCCTTTTTCTTATGGATATCTCCTCCAGGGAGATATTGTAAGGGTCCGAATGATGCGGATAAGAGGTACAATAACAAGTCGAAACTGTATCGCGACAAGCTGTGGGCTCTCGACTGGGTCGAAGTGGCCGGTGAACCCGTGTGCGGTGCTGATGTGTTTTTAATTGAGGACGAAGGGGCGACCTAGTACTGTTGTGGTGGCATCATCCGGTCTGAAATTCACAAGGCCACGACGGAGAAGGGCAAGGTCAATGAGCGAGATTTGAAGAAGCTCTTTCTCACTTCGGTGTACGATGAGCAGGGTACTGACTGGGTCAAGACTGACCACAAGGTCAGCCTCGATCTTGCTCAGTTCAAGGGGTATGGTCAGAAGGCATTTGATATGAAAGCCTTCGGTGGCAACCCCGGCAAGCGAGATGGGAATGCGTTTAAGATGCTCTTACCCATTGAATTCCTCAGCAAGACCTACGGGTATAGGAAAAGTGGTCAATTCCCGACGGTTGCCGCTGGTCACCCGCTCACGTTACCTCTTGTTCCGTTTGACGCTCCTGTCGAGTCTCGCAGGCTTATCAACGTGCTCTAGCGATTGGCGGCAGGTTGTGTCGACGCCGCAACAACCTATCGGCGGAAAGGAGAAATTTATTACTTACCAGAGGCGTTTGGGTGGTGGGTCATCGGGAAACCTTCCGAAGAAGAAGGGGCTCGCCAAACCTCCTTCGGATCTTCCTGAAAGCTCTCGTGTTGGTGCCAGCTCGCGCTCGCAGGACACCGCTCAACGTGGAACGGACGAGGATTCCGACGAAGATATGGAGGAAGACGAACGGGTTCGTCAATTGCATTCACGGTTGTTAGCGACGCCTGGGCACATCCAGGGCGAAGGCTCTTGCGATGTGAATGCGGGGCGGGAAGCTGGTGGAGGTGCCGAAGCCCAAGTGAGCGACGATGGAGAATACTACGAGAATGAAGGAAAGTGTGGTAGTGGCGAGCGCCGAGAATAGGTTGGAGGAGCGGTGGACCATATGGAGTGGGAAAAGGTTGCGGCGAGCGGTGGGGTGGGCGGTGGCAGTGTGGGTGGTTCAGAAATGGAAGACGAGGAATTGGAAGACGAAGGAGGAGATGCCGTTGTTTTAGGGGGGCTTAATTCCAAGGGGAGAGGAAAACGGTCAGCGCAATCGTCGTCGACGGCAGCTGCGCCTAAGAAGCAGGCTCGAAAGAAAGCTGTGGACGAAGCTCGGATCACCTTGGATGCATCTCAAGGGACGCTTGGTGAAGCCGATGTGAAATGCAAATCAAGTGCTCGGATTTGCAAAACGTCACAACCCAAGAAGCCCGTGCGACCATCAAGGCGCCAGAAATCGGATGACTCCAGCGACGATGTTGAAGGGGTGGCCCCTCACTTGCTCTCCCTCCCTCACGACGACAAGCAGGAGACGAAGAAACCCTGTGCGGTCAACATGACGCAGTGCTTCTTCCTCGAGTGCGACGAGTACAGCAAAAACAGAAGAGACCCGCCGAGGGTGGTCCTTGACATCATGCAGATTCTTCGAATTCCGGTAGCCACAGTGGGAGATATCGCCTTCAATCAGCGATCGCTGAACCCGACCATCGTTGTAGGCATCGATGAGGCAATCGAGGCAACAACTCGTCCAAGGTCCGAGGATGACCTGGCTCCGTGGGATCCACCGGAGTTGGTGCTGGCTCCGATTAGGCCATCCCAGGACGAGAACACCCAAGGGATACGCGTCCTTCCATAGGACTTCGATCCCGATAGGGCAGACAAGTTTTTCTATTACCCGGTTGCCGGTCTACATACTTCTGAAGCTATGAAAAATGCAGTGGCAAGGAATGTTGCAGCAGTAGAGGTGTTTGGCTTTCGGAATTACGATCATGTACGGATCATTTATTTTTACGACACCACACGAACGGGTATGCGTATGTTTCGACATACGACAACACGAGAGCTGACTGTGCTATGTTGCCGTCGTTCCACCAAGCCTGCGAGGACATTAAAGGATTTTGGGACTCGAGGAAACGGATCGGGCCTGTGAGGAACGTGTCCAAAGGGGATCCCACCGGTGTAATGCACCAGGAAGAGTGGAGGAAATTTATGAGACTTTGCATGGGGAAGTCATGTGACAAATCACTGTGGACCGAGTATTTGTCTCCGAAGTGGCAACAAGACTAGACGAACAGAATGAGGGGATACATGAATGTCGCCACATGCAAGGACAGGATATGGATATTGGTAAAGGAGTTTTTTCTTAAGTTCGAGGCGGGGGAGTTCCCACTACACGACAACAAATGCCCAAAGGACTTGCCAGGGAAGCAGGAGGGGCGGGTGCCGGGCCAATTCACTGAAGAGGTGCAAGGGAAGAAGGAGGTGTTCCATTGCATACCGGCTAAGGACGGGGGACCAAACGCTACAGTGTCCTTCAAAGATCTCGTTCTGTCAAACTTCAAATGTTTTGGAGATATGACGGCACGAGAACCGTTTGAAGGCCATGAATGCGCGTTCGTGTTCAAATCCGCGTTTGAACGCGGATTGCACGTTCGCGTTCAAAAATTGAACGCCGTTCAATTTTATTTATTTTTTTTCTAAAAATTATTTCGATGCCTAAAACTTTTTTTTTTTTTCCATTTTTTTTTTGTGAGTTCTTTATGATGTGGGCTACACTTCTGTAAATTTCGGATTCATTTTGCTAAAGAGAAAAAAAAATAAAAAATCGCCAAAGATGGCGGTGTCAAATCATGTTCGCCGATTAATTTCAATTGTTTTTTTTATTTTTTTTTATTTTTTGCTCTCTAGTTTTATTTTGAATTTCATAGCGAATTTGGATGTGATGCTCAGACAAATGTTGTTCACTTTATTTTTCTTCATAACATTTTTTTTTTTCGGAATTTTTTGACAACTTTTTTTTTTTTTTTTTTTTTTTTTTTTTTTTTCCGCGCAGAATTGAACTCCGCGTTTGGTTGCGTTCATTGAACGGGCGTTCATTCCGTTCGGTTTCAGAACGGAAAACCTGCGTTCAAAAAACGCGCGGTAACACAGCACGAGAGAAGGAAATTGCATTGGGGTTGATGATAAATAAGAAAGTAATCGCCACTACTAGACTGAAAGTTGAACATGACCAACCTCCTCGACATCATAATGCGCGAGAGATACATGATGCGTCTTTTCAACTACATCGTCTTCAAATCGGAGAACAGAGAGGCGAGAGAATGGAAGGATAGGAACTTCTTCGATTATGAAAAAGTGGAGGTAAGGTTTGGTGTGAAGGTAGCCGAATGGGATGAAGAAATGGATAGGATCCCTTTGGAATACATCCGGAGGGTTCCAAAAGGACTCGGCGGAGAGCAAGAGGAAAAAGGTCTGAAAGGAGCTCGCCTGAAGGCCACGGGGCATTGTATAGGGATGCACCTTTCCATTTCAAGTACTTCGTATACCATGCAATAGGAAGAGTGAACTTACTGACAGCTGAGTTGCGACGGTTGAAGAACGCTGCGCTTCATCTGTGTTGGGAGAAGAAACCGCGATGGTCGACATTGCTACCGGTCAACACGCACCCCAGGCAGTTGCTGCCCGCGGCCGACGAAATTGTGACTGCGGCAACTTGAATTGCAAGGTGGCCATCCTCGATCTCGCCAACCCAAAGGAGTGTTTTGCATGGTCGCCAGCCGATTTCGATGCTCTGCACAAAACGATGACGAAATTGTGCAGTAAAAATTGGACTTTGATTGTTTTTGCCTCGCAAAAACAACATAAGATCGTCACGAAGCAGCTTTACAACTGGACGACGTAGAGCTGATACCCGAGACTTGGAAGCGTTATCTCGGGGTCGGGACGGCTGTCAGCAAGTACGGAAACTGGGAAGTCGATTATAAGGACACGATGACGATCATCCTGCATGTCGAGGGCGGCGACCTCAAGAAGGTCACGGGGGCCCCTAAATCGGAGGCGGAGCTAGTGGAGCTAAACGTTGAGGAGGAGCACTTCAAGAGGTGCACAACGAGGCACGACGACGAGGAAGAAAACGAACGAGAGGTATATGGGCGGTGGGAACGACATCCCAAACGGTTGCAGAAGTTGTGTAGTTCGTTTTTGCATGAGGATCAGAGGGTGATTCTTAACGGGAAGCCTTATGTTGGACTTGTGTGGGAGCTTCTGGGCGCTGGCTATCATGTTTTCGCATGCGACCTGTCGTCCAAAGACATTTCGTACTTGACGAAGGCCAGCAAAATTCTTGGGAAGGACGTGAGAAACGATTGCATGGTTGAGAGACAGAAGATTGCGCATCGTCCGAACAGGGACATGTACCACAAGCTGGGCACGAAGAGAAATAAGATGTGGGAATATCTGTTCCAAGGCCCACCCAAGTCACCATTCGAGCATGAGTACATAGTTCGCAAAGCGATGGCACAAGAAGCGTATGGTGGCTACCATAAAGCGCAGGTGGGTGCGTTTGCGATGTTCGTGGCGAGATATGAACAAATGAAGTTCACAGGAAATTTGGCAATGCTGACGTACGATGAGTACAGTAACATTGCCAAAACAAATCCGAGAGCGACGAGGAGACCGAAACCTCAGACCTCGAAATCGAAGAGCGAGTGAAACGTTTGCGAGAGGGAATACAAAGTGTGCCTGCATGCAGCGTGCCGAACGAGAATCCTGAAGAAGGTCGCACGAAATCGGGAGGTGTGAGCAGTCCGACGTGTGACGTGACCGACAGGGCGAGTTCCATTGAACAGATGCAAACGGATTCGCCTACACCCCTCCAAGCACTTAAGAATACGTTTATTTATGACAATTGTCACGGGTTCCAAGGGAGGCCTCATAGTCTTCGAGGAAACACGAAATACAACATGCTGGCAAACGACGATGAGGATGACTTTACGGTTTCAAATGCCCTTCCCAGGCTGATGCCCGGTGATGATATTCCCGATCGCATTTTGCAGGCCAGTGAACAGCCGTACTTCATTGAAGACAAGGTGCCAGAAACGGCGTTTGAGAAGTGAGGGCATCACATTTTGTGGCATACAGACGTATTCGAGCCATGCATTTTCAAGGGGGAGTGGATGATGGCACTGCATCTAACATTAGGATGGAAAGTCAAACCCACACAAGCAGAAGTACCGTGGCGGAAAGTGACGAAGAGCGAAATCGTCTTCCGTGTCAAGTGCGAAAACGAGGGAGCGGACGAGGCAGCTATTGAGGAAAAGGCTCAATTGCTATTCGATTATCTGCACTCCAACAATCAGCTAGAATATAAACACAAATTCTATAACTTGCCGTCAACTGGTCATGCAAGAACATCGATTGGAAGATCGAACTTCTTCCTGCGTGCCAAGGCATCGAGACAATCCAGTTGGGATACTTACAGCTTTGGGGGCAGTCGACGACGCACTTTGCTGCCAGTGTTGGGGAAGCGATGAGCCAAACTGCTATCAAGATAACGGGGGTGGATAAGGGAACACAAAATGTTGACAAAGATCCTTCGAACGTTGCATCGTACGGACCTCCTCTAATAACTCAGGCGGAAAACCAGAGTGCATCACAGATGGAGAGCCCCGCTCCTTCCACGAACATGGCGGTTTCAGATGGAATGCAACAAGGTGGGTATGTAGAACGTGCGAGTGAGATGCAAAAAGATTCCGATGAGATGATGTAGGCGTTGAAGGAGGCAGAGAAGGAGGTAAAGAGGAAGCTTGAGGGATCAACCACGTGCCAGACGGTGATTAATTGTATATCGTTAAGCGATGAAGGGTTAGACGTACATGTAGAGGGGCACGATGACAATGAGGATGCAAGGGACAATGTTGATGAACAGAAAGAAGTGGATGACGGAGGTCGACTTGCGAGACGGTCGACAAGAAAAATAACGAAAAAATACCTTGTGAATATGTAGATATATGTTCAGGCTGAGTTCGGGTAGACGTGACACTCTGTGTGTGTGTGTGAGTGCTTGTACGCAAGTCAGATAAATATTTTCGGCGGGAGACGTGTGATATAATAATTGATTCCGCTGTGAATTTGAGAGGACATCAGATAACAGTGTCAATCATGATACATCTCTCTCTCTCTCTCTCTCTCTCTCTCTCTCTCTCTCTCTCTCTCTCTCTCTCTCTCTCTCGATCTATCTATCTATCTATCTATCTATCTATCTATCTATCTATTTATCTATCTATTTATTTATCTATCCATCTATCTCTCGATCGACTGATCGATCGATGAATCTAACGACAAGGAATGTGAGAAATATATGTGCACTATGTCACAAAACACAGGTAATGTGGTCGATGAATATAATGAAGACATGTCATTGGCAAAGGAGTTTTTTCAAAACTCGCTCGTTTAAGGTAACTCCTAGTTAATGCGGTTGATGAATATGATGGAAGTGCATGAAAGAAAATAATGGGGTGTATTGGTTTCAACTACTTAAATTACTAGAACCCCTACACACTCCGCTCTTTTAAGGTAACCCTTACTACGCATTACTACAACAAATTGAATGCAATGAACATGCCTAGAAATGGATGTATTGAAACATTAGCTCACATAAAGACATGGCGCGTTGTCATGTGCAGCGCAAACGACAATGGAGGATAACCGGAGGTGCAAAAAAGGATGGACCGTCCACTTGGCAACAACGAATTTGACGGAGAGAGAGATGGAGGCCCTTACGCGATTGTGAGTGAAACTTGGGGATAGCGACGTCATAGCAAGTTCATTCAACGAAGACACAAAAGAAGAATTAACGATGATAGTCAACGATTTTAGCTTGCTAATGATAGAAAAAAAGTGGTTGAACGAGCAGATAGTTAATTTTTATCTTAACCTTGTTCGACTTGACAATGAGTGTCGTGTGAAGCCCTATAATTGCGATTCCGAGAACGAAAACGTCATTAGAACAGGAAAGGGGCGCATTCCAACAATAGCAGTTCTAAGCTCATTTTTTTTCACAAAACTATTCGATAGTAATATGAAGTTCGAGTACGAAAAGGTTCACAGATGGTTCACAAAGGTCGTGATTAGCGACATGGATTTGATCATTGCACATTTTCACGTCGCGCACAACCAACATTGGACACTCATAGTGGCAGACCTTAGGCGTATGAAAATTGAGTACTACGATTCGCTGACGCCGGATGTTGAACTCGCGGTGAAGGTGACAGGGGGGTTCGCAAGATTTGTGTACATGAGGTCGGTCGAACAAGGTCAAGAAATCGACACGAAAAATTTCAACCATATATGGGAAGTGGAAGGCATTCCAAAGCAGCGTGACTTCAACGAGTGCGGTGTGTTTATGCTGACATATGCATCACTATTGGCGAGAGGGTTTTTTCCACCTTTCAAGTTCACATTAGATGACACAAAGAAAATACGATGTCGGATAGCTTTCAACGTAGTTGTTATGCAGTAGACGAATTTGTTCCATTTACAGTATAGACGTTCAAACACATGAAATGTCCATGTAGTGATATGAAATAGATCTGATATAGGAGAAGAAGAGTTTGTAAGTGTAACGAGGATTAAGTATGCGGTTCACGATGAATGTAACTGGTCGTGCAATAAGGACATCTTATGAAAGGCCATCTTATCTCTTACCTCTTACTCCTCTCATCCTTACCCCTGACCCCTGACCCCTTACCCCTTACCCCTTACCCCCTACCCCTTACCCCCCTTACCCCCCTTACCCCCCTTACCCCTTACCCCTTACCACCCTTTTCGTATCACAAATAATTCACAACTGAAGAAAAATATGGCAAAATATGTGAGATACAATTTCGTTCAAAAAATAAAAAATGTCCGTTTTGACGAAATCGTAGTTACGGGGCGTTTATTCAGGTAAGGATAGTAGAGTCCTGAACTGGAGCCTATGTGAAGGTAAGCATTTGCCTTTGGACAGAAAAGGATTGAAGGTCGGGTTACACGCCAGTGAGAAATCTTTAGAGGATGAACGGAAAAAAAAAAAAAAAAAAAAAAGACAGAGGATCAGGAACAGGTTTGTGGTATAACCCACGCGAAAACCGTTTTGGTACAGGGCACCCAAACGATTCGCCTGCTGGAAAACCAACCTGGCGCAGATGCAGCGCCGGGTTCACCATCTGGTAGGAAGGGGCCCAGCAGTATGGGCCCGATCTCAGCCGCCAGATTTCTGCATCCGACAGCCCCTGTTGCCCGTGGGCGCTTTTTACCAACTGGGAAAGGTCTGGGCGCCCAAAACCAAAAAGGTTTTGGCATGGGCTTCTTCCACCAATTATCCCCTTGGTGGTCTATGAAGTACAAAAGCTCCTCAATAATTGACTGTTAATTCGAGATAAATAAATAGTTCAGAAAATTGATAATTTGAGATTAAATAAATAGTTCAACAATATTTGATAATTTGAGATAAATAACCAGTTCAATTAGAAGCTCCGCAATAGTCTAGTCGCAAAAGGAAACGTCTCTAATAATCCATTTCGAATTCTTGTTGCGATCCGTCCTCTTGTGTACGAGCTATGTCTCGACCTTCCAGACACTTCTGGCTCCACCAGTAGGCGCCTTCCGCCATTCCTAGACTCCTCGTACTGCGCTACATTTTAAACGATTGAAGAAAAAAAAAAGAAGTAACACTGCTTCCCATTCAAGCATACCAAGATGTATTAAGATGTGAACCTCCTTTTTACCACCCTTTGAAAAGAGCTCTCGGCCGAGATCGGGCTATATGCCTGTCCACCACTCAACATCCGTAAGTTCTGGCAAGCCGATCCAGCTCAGCATGTCTTTGATCGTACTCCTCCTTCGATGCAAGTTCCTCGTGCCCGAGGTACCATGCGACGACCTCTCCAAAATGCTTCTCCAACTCAACGGGGAGCTTGTTGGAGGACTGGCGCTCTCGCAACTTTATTATTAGCCTCCACAGTCTGTTCATCGAATCTCTTGCAGCCCAAATCCTGGCGTCCTCTGCTTTTGCTGCTGGTGTGTACCAATCCAGTGCGTCTATCCCGCCACCCGAGGACTGCACAGCATCCGCATCAAGTGTAACAATGGTCTCAACCTTTTTCCCGATCTCCTTGTGCCCTGCTATCGCCTCCAGTGTCGCGTGGACAATCCCGTGAGCATCGATCTTAATCACAAATAAAGCACGGTTATACACACCCGGAATAAACCCATCCAGCCTCAGTTCCCCAAGCAACCTGTTATATGCACACAGAGCACGTTCGCCCTCGAACAATCCGACCTCGTGAAGTGTCTCTTCGGCATCCACGGCACTGAACATCAAACTTCCAGTGGCCGGGAGGGGCGAGTTTCTTGGGATAACGACATCCATAAGGCCGAAACGTGAGTCGACTCCGATACTCACGGCTGTCACATCGCGCACGGATATGCTTGCCTCTAAGCATTTATCGCTTCTGGCCAGCAATCCCGCTTGTACTGCAGCGCCAAACGCCACAGCCTCATCAGCGTTTACAGACTTGATGGGCGGCCTGCCAAAAAATGTGGTCAGCATCTCTTGCACCTTAGGAATCCTCGTTGATCCACCCGCGAGCACCACGTCGGAGATCTCATCCTTGCTCATATTCGCATCACTAAGCGCTTGCTCGACAATTGTCATGCACCTGTCAAAAATGTCTTCGTTGAGTGCCTCGAACTCTGCACGACCCAATTTCATGGTGAGGAGACGGTCACGGTAATCCAAGTCTACGTACGTCTCCTTCTGATTGGACAGAATGTGCTTAGCGTCCACAATGGCCTGCTTCAGCCTTGGGAGAACCCTCGGATTTCCCAGCAAATCCTCTCCGTCAAGCTGATCCTTCTTGAAACGCTCTGCCACATGCTGAAGCAGGCGCTCGTCTATGTCTGTGCCACCCAGATGAGAGTCTCCCGCCACCGCATTCACTACGAAGTTGCAGTCCTCATCTGTCCCTTCCTTAACAGTGACAATGGACACGTCGAAGGTTCCCCCACCCAGGTCGAACACCAGCAGCTTCTTCCCCACAGGCTCTCTCTCTATCAAATGCTTATGCCCATATGCCAGCGCCGCTGCCGTTGGCTCGCTCATCAATCGCAACACGTTTAACCCTGCGCTCTTCCCGGCCGCCATAGTCGCCTTCCTCTGACTGTAATGGAAATACGCAGGTACGGTGATGACTGCATCCGTGATCGGACGGCAATTGGTGTACTCCTCAGCGATCGCCTTCATCTTCTTGAGCAGCAAGGTCGAAATTTCTTCAGGTTTGAAACAGGTTTGCCTGCCCGGTGACGCAGGAACTTGGAGAACAGCTTCGTCAAGCGGTCCCAACAACACCTTGAAAGGCCACCGCTTGGCATCCTGCTGGACGGCGGGGTCGTGAAACGATCGCCCCATCAGCCGCTTGACCTCGTAGATGCACTGCTCGGGATGCCTTAACCCCTCTTTCTTCGCAGCGGTCCCCACCAGATGCTCTTCCTCCTCCGCGAATGCTACGTAGGAGGGGGTTATCCTCTCTCCCAGGTCATTTGGAACTATCTCGATTTCATCTATGTTGCGAAATACAGCAACGCAGCAGTAAGAAGTGCCCAAATCTATGCCGAGGACAGGCTTGTCCTCCATAGCGTATCGCTTTCGATCAACCTGCTTCTGGCCATGTAGGTCCGCCGTTGGCCTTGCCGGGAGCTGCCTCGAGGCCCTCGAGACCTCCAGTGCTGTTGTTCGCGGGGTGACACGAGGATTACCCCCGATAGCCTGTGGCTTCCTATCAAACTGCTTTGACTCATCACGCTCTGCTGTTGGCTCCGACGGCAGCAGCTTCTTTGACTCGCGGACCTCAATCCTTGGCGAGGTGGCATCGAGCTCTGCCGCTAGCGTTGACGTAGGGTGCCCGAGGTCCTCCACGACAATGGTAGGCGCCGATGCCTGCTCCGAGTGCCCGTTTCTTCTTCGGACATCTTCAGCATCCTCATATTTTGCTTGGCCCTTTTGTCCGCGGGAGAAATAGGAACAAGCAGCTCTGAAACGCATAATGGCAGCTCAGATGACCCCCCCCCCCCCCACACACACACACACGTACTCTCGCACGCTCTCACTTGCACGCACACACACAAACACACACACACTCGTACACGAGGACTGGTGGGGACGTCTATTATTTATTCAAAGAAGTACACTTCCCTTGCTTTGGGATCATACCCCTTTCGTTATCTTCTCGCCACCTCGGCTTCGTGGAAGGTACACAGCCAACTCGTCGGGAAGCGCAGCTGCAGGCATGGTCTCGAACTCGCTGATTGATTCCGTTAAGCGCTCATCCACTTATGACCTTGACCTTCTCGCCGCCTTGCCGCCGTTGATGTTACCTGCCTCAACATAAACGTGTACATCCTACTCCGTAACTGCCCCTGACGGTCTCTAACGGATTGGCACATGCGACGATTCACAGCAGTTGCTTCTGGATCATAAAAGGAGCTGTGGTCCCCCCATAGCTACGGACAGTGCGGACACCGGCCTGAGATCAATAGCGCGGACAGACAGTCTAAGCGTGCCCATGCGCAGAGTTGCCTCGATGCATATAACCTTTTTTTCCCACATGGTTTTGTCGAAGCAAACCCAGCGGGCATCCGCTGCGTCCGTTGCTGACGCCAGTCCTCTGTCTCCTAATCACACATATGTACTATTTTTAACAGCTAATCCTTCAATATGCACTCTCCACGCCGTCCCTTCCTCCCCTCCCTCCGCCCCTTTTACTTTGCGTCATCATTTCAACGGCCGAAACGGAATGCAAGCTACGAAGAAAATTCATCATCCTTGTGTAAGTCTACGTCATCCTCGTGGTATCGTTCTCTGAAAATCTGCAAACCTAGACTTTTGAACGCGTTAATAATTGACTAATCGCCCATCTTCCCTTCGCTCACGGGACGGACTGGAGATGCCTCGTGGTTGCAAGCCCACCTCCCATTTCAAAGAACAGATGTACATATCGACCCGAATCTCTATATACATCGCTCATCCATCAAGGGACGTCCCGGGGAAACACTTCAATCGCATCCGTAATTCTCAGTCGTACAACCTATCAAACAATAGCGAAAACCGTTTCAAACAAGACTGAGAGTGAGTGCTAGACATATCAAACTGCACGTGGAATGGAAGAATGATCAAAAGAGAGACAAGGAACGAGGAAGATAAAGAACAAACTATTGGAGACTCTGGGACAGAACAGGTGGAAGAGAGAGAGAGAGAGAGAGAGAGAGAGAGAGAGAGAGAGAGAGAGAGAGAGACGGCAAATAAAGCGAATAAGAACGATGATTATCCCCAAATTTCGCCCATCGGTGTAATCCTATCCGTCGACCTACCAAATCGAACTTAATCTAAGTAACGGTGTTATTTACATCAACTTTCAACCCCTTTGCTTACCAGGTCTTACCATTCTCTCTCTCTCTCTCTCTCTCTCTCTCTCTCTCTCTCTCTCTCTCTCTCTCTCTCTCTCTCTCTCTCTCTCTCTCTGTGTGTGTGTGTGTGTGTGTGCGCGCGCGCGCGCGGGCGCCGCCCCTACCTCCACACGACGCCTGGTATCGAAGCCGTTGATTTATTCAGTCGGCCGCTCTCCCCGTACTCTGAAATTCACCATGCGAGATCGCCTCGCCAGCTTCGCCTTTCTTGAGAGGCACTCGCGCATCTCCACAAGGTATACACTGTACAGCGTACTCCTTGACGGGTTTAGATGCGCAAGGTTTCACACCACCTTTTCTCCCCCCGCTGCTTCTGAATGGAAATCGATGCCCTTTGGCTATGACCTAAGGCTTTAACGGTGCTTCCACTGAATATCTCAGCGGCAGAATCTGTTGCTGAGACGAATCTGACGACGTTTATCCACCAGATTCGGTCCACAAAATGCCGGTGTGAGTATTCCTCCACTCCCTTTATAGCTCCGTACTCGGTCCTCTGTTCACTCACAGGCCAACTTTTGTCACCGGATTAAACGACCTCTCAGCAACCGCGCTCCACACCATGCCTTCCCCTAATCCTTCCGCCGATCTGCAAATCTAGAATTTCGAGACAAATATAGCTGATCCATCAAGTTATACACACTGTCAATGACCGAAAGCTTCTACGTAAACGCGAGAACAATTCACTGAATTCAGCATCTCCTAATTACTTCTTCTCTGTCACAATAGTGGTCTCTTTCTCTGCCGATCTAGAAATCTAAAATCTGGAAGGGCTTATTAGTATTATCATTATTTACTAAACGCCAAATTAAATAACAATATTTCGGTAAATGTGAGATTCGAAGACCGGATTGAGACCCACCTCCCAATTCACGACAAGCAATTACAAATCCACCCGAATTTCGAGACGCATCGATCGCCCATCCAGCGTGGATGGACGTCCAAAGGCAACGGTTCGAATCGCGCCACTACTTCAAAATCGTACAACGTATTGGGATATACTGAAAATCGGCTCGAAACAAGCGAAGCGGTTGACGCAGCGAGCTGCTCGTGGAGCGGAGGAATGAAGAGGCGAGACAAGGAAGGAGAAAGATCAAGAACAAGAAAAAGGAGAAAGTCCGGGGGCGGAATGGGTTTTGGGGGGAGGGGAGTAGAGCGAGAGAGAGAGAGAGCGAGAGAGAGAGAGAGAGAGAGAGAGAGAGAGAGAGAGAGAGAGAGGGAGCGCAGGGGAAGGACGAATCATAATAGAGAAGAACGATGGGTTTCTACCGTATTCGGTCGACGGGTCTCTCTCCTTTGGCCGATGTTTCTAACTTTCTGTACTTCATTTTTCCGAATCCGCATTCATTGCGTAACTTGGTTATAGACATCGACTTTCAGTTCACCTACTTTCTAGTTTTAGAACTCTCTCTCTCTCTCTCTCTCTCTCTCTCTCTCTCTCTCTCTCTCTCTCTCTCTCTGTGTGTGTGTATCTGCCTCTCTCTGTCCATCTATCTATCTATCTATCTATCTATCTATCTATCTATCTCTGTGTCTCTGTATATATATCGTCAAACAGAGCTGCCTACGGCTTAGAGGGGGAAGAGGACAACAAACGAGGGGCTGTGACAAACTTTTTCGTCGGAGTTTCACCGACTCATCAGGAGGCTGAACCCTCATCGACAAACGTTGGGGACGCCGTGCGGGAACTGAGCGATGGGCATGAGGGTTTGCAACTTTGCATTCCCCGCCACAGTGAGGGCACACCCACAGGAACACTTTCCCAAATACATCTTACAGCAATTAAGTGCAGAGCTTGATGAACCTGACTGTAATCACGACCACATCGATGCCGGAAAAGTCCTAGTGTATGTACAACCTCAGAGGAATCGTTCCCTCGCGCCCTCCCCCTCCCCTCCCCTCGCCTCTACCAAAAAAAAAAATATCGCCCAGAACGAAGCACTGGGATGTCGCGTCCTTTTTCCTTTTCTTTTTTTAAGTTTTTTTCTTATAGAGAAAGAAGGTTTATTGCACAAAGCCGCTAAACGGGCCCGTCGTCCCTCACTGCATCGCACACAAGCCTATCGAATCCAAAGTGAAGTTGATTTGTTTTTTTTTTTTTGTTTTTTTTTTTAAGTGAGGTTCGAATTGTGCGTCGTGGTAGTTTCATCGAACAAAAAAAAAAAAAAAAAAAAAAAAAGAAGTTTCATCGAAGATCCAGGGCCTCGCTCCACATCTGACCACATGGACAAAAGACGCAAACAAAACAAATATGGCGGTGTAACTTCCCATGTCCGGGCGGAAGATTCATTCTCATTTCGCTCATTTGGTGAGTAGAGGAGAAAACATCCCCTGCGCATTAATTTAGAGGACGGCACGCACATATTAAGGAACGCTCCAAATAAATGCATTTTAAAAAATTTTAGACCATTTCTCGATTTATGCGTGTCATCCTTGAAAGCGCAGGGGCAATGCTAATCTTCTCTCTCTGTATCGTTCCAATTTTAACGTATGTCCCGAACGACTAAATGCATTTTTAGAAAACGGAAGACGCAGTCGATTCCTGCTCTTGAAGGCTCTGGCGGGCAGGAGGGGGCAGCGGGGTTTTGAACCCGTACACTGTCTATTGTTATGTTATGGTATGTTGCTTATCGTATGGGTACCATTCAGTTGAGCTGGGTGGGTCGGCACTGGGCTGGCTTCGGCGGGCAGCGTTGGTTGTACCGGGGAGCTCGGAGCAGATCCCTGGGCCCCGTGTGAAACCACCACCATCCTTGGCCGGAAACTTCCGGCCGTTTTCTTTTTTTTGGGCCTTTTTCTCTTTTTTCCTTCTGCGTTTGGCTTTTTCTGGGGTCAAGTGAGGGCCTACTCAAACGAGCACGACCTTCAATGCATGTGACCCCATCTACAGCCGACCTGTATGCATCTGGCCCCAATTACGTTCAGAAGACCTCCTGTTTGCTGCCAATCAGTGCGCGTGGAATGGAAAGATCTTTCCGTACATGAGAGAGAGAGAGAGTCTCTGAGAGAGAGAGAGAGAGAGAGAGAGAGAGAGAGAGAGAGAGAGAGAGAGAGAGAGAGAGAGAGAGTTGACACTCCTATGAGAACAGATTGGTGTTGATCTTTAATATAAGATTAGGGTTGCTTTGATGGCATCTTGTTAATTGTTCTGTTGCTTTGGAACGAATGGGTTAATTAGTGCCAGGTTTATAATATATTAGAATTAGATTAGGGTTGGGGCTCATTTTCATATATCGGGGCTATTGTGAAATAGGCGGCCTATGACGTTCTTAGAATTCTTTCTGTGTTGTTGCTGGTTGATGGGTCTGTTCGGTTCCTTGTTGTTTCGCGAGTAGGATAAAGAAATAGGCCGTTTGAATGTGTAGTAGATGTTGTAGAGGACAGGAAGAGAGGCAGAGGTTCGGCTGTTAGAGATACCCATCGTCAAAAATAATTGAGGGGTAAATCCAATAGAGTCACAAAAACGAGTTATAATTGCACTATGGGGCAAGATACAGTTTGCAATTGCACTTTGGGCACCCTGCCTGGCCAGAAAGATGGGTTGTATACATTGCAGGTCCGAACTGCAATTTGAAACTGTACTATCTTGGCCCATAGTGCAATTGTAACTCATTTTTGTGACTCCCGCATAGTTTCCCCTTTTTTTTTCTTTTCGGTCCAGCGTTTCCGTCTGGATTTGAACCCAGGTCTGCATTTTAACTTTTCCTTTTGTACGTTTTTATTTTCGTACGGCATGAGTTGGCAGTTGGGAGTTAGAGGGTGGGTTTACCAACCATTCTCACTCATGCAGTGGGATTTGAACTTGGTTCTGTAAGTCAAAAGTTTATGGGTGTACCAAATGAGCTAGGTCCATTGGTACCTTCAGAATATGGAGTCCTTTCTGTCTTCAGAAAAACTTTGCCTCCTCCTCTTCTTGGCGGGGAGCCACACCGGGATAATTGGT